CAATTTATGCATGTCTAAATAATTTTGAGGAAAAACTTTATTTTATCAGTTTACTTATAATTTTGAGTAATAAATTCTATTTTCACAGTTTGTGGCTTTTTTCTTTTTTTCATTCACTTCTTCTGCATTGCTAGCTATATATATATATATATATATCTCTACATATAGTTTTTTTTTTTTTTTTCATTTCAATTTCGTCTATGTATTGTTCTGTCTCTATAGACTTAAAATCATTCATAATAATATTATCTTATAATAAAATTTTTTACTTAAATATATAAATTAATATATATAAACCCTTGCGTAATATTACGTGAATATTACAAGATATCATTTTAGCTATATTAACTTCATCACTGCCATAATTTAGGGCGATTTTGTGGTTTTTTTTTTTTTTTAATGCACTACTGCCTCGCCTTGTATCTCTCTCCTCGGATTTTTCTCTGCCTCGGATTCCTTTCTCCCTTGTCAATCTCATTGCCGGCCATTTACAAAATGTTAATGGAAATGTTCAATTAAAGCAGTATGTCGCAATGTGGGGGCATCTAAAGAATGGGAAAGTTCTTTTATAAAATATAGTAAATTTCATTGATCCAGACAGCTTAGAAGATAGAGTTTACTATTGTCAGGTACAATTCAAGACGGAACAACTTTTATTGGTTTTTTTATTTGAACAATGGGGAATGAAAACTTCTTCAGAATCTGATATGAAATAATTCTTATGAAGCCTTGTGTTTCTTTCTGGCCAAATATGATAAATTGAGACAGCTCAAGTATGCTTAACGTGAGTTTTATAAACTGACTCTCTTTCAGTTTCCTGCAAAGTCATGGTAATGAATTTGCCCACAAAATAAAGCACGGCGTACATACATGCCTGGCGAGAAATGCCAAACTCCGCTTGTGTAGTCACTGAAAAAAAATAAAAGAGAAGTAATCCGGACTTTACATACCACCGTTGTACAGTAAACAAGTGTCATCCAATTGAGGGGACTATGGGTATGGAATTTGAAAACCATGACAGCATTGACCATTCTACCACCATAAATGGTTCCAAGTGTCTTACTTAAGAAGAACCAGCAGGATGCTAGCCCAAGAACAGAATCTGATTGATTTTTTTTTTTTTATCAATCAAATAAATTTTATTAATTTAGAGTACAAGAATCTGATTGATCCTACATTGAATTTAATGTGTCACAAAGGGCAATCTACTTTGATGTTTCCATTTAGACCACTTCAGACCTTTTCTTTAAGCCAAATAATAATATATTAAAGTAGAGATCTCGAATATAATCAAATAAATATTAGACACCACAAAAAATTAAATAAAAGAGAGTGAAAAATTTACGTGGAAAACCCTCTAATATAAAGGGAAAAACCATAGGACAAAATTAAAAAAAAAATCAACTATTACAATGAATATTGTGACAACTGTTTCCCAAGATCTCTGCCACTGCCAGACCTAAAATCTAAAGCAATTTAAAAAGAAAAAAGAAAAAAAAGAAACTCTCCAAGCAACCTTTCGCTTTTCTTTTGTTTATTTAACACCTCACATGGTGAAGACTGAAAACAACAGACATTACCATGTGCTCTCCATCTCTCCAAAATTAAAATAAAAAAAACGAATGGTAGATTAGTCCTTTTACTAATTTAATACTCTCCACACATCTGACCCTAAATTTGGCATTTTTCTCAAATAGACTCTACACCAGATTCCAATCCTTCAAATTAGTCTTTCAATAATTTACTTTTGCAGTTGCCGATAAGATCTAAAATATTTTATATGAATGCATTATGATTCAGCACCGACAATGACATTTTACCTGCCACAACTTTCATTCTTCTTCCCCTTTTCTTTCGAGATATTTCTTTTCTCTTTAACCCTTCCTCGCTCCCTCTAAGCAGAGTTAAACCAAAAAAAAAAAAAAAAAGTTATCCCTGAACTCGCTACCAACATTACATGGTAAGCAAGTGTGTCTAATTTAGGGGACCATCCCTTCTTTCTTTTGTAGAGAGCCTTTCTAGTATTGAAAGCCAAGCCATAAAACTGTGCTTGGCTATGGAATTTGAAAACCATAGCAGCCTTGATTATTCTACCTTATTCTGTCTTTTCAAAAATGGTTCGTGGTGTGACTATTTTAAAGAATCAATAGAGGATGCTAACCAAATAAGGTAATTTGATTGCTCGTTTGGATATAATGCACCACAAAAGGGCAAAATCCAAAATTTAAGAAGCTCTGGCAACTTAACCAGCACCCACTTCCAGAAATTCCTCTAAATTACTTGTGATAGCTTAGGTTTAAAAGGTTGCGCTTCAACAACAACATTCTTAGTACCTATGGATCCAACAGAATGCCATCAGGGTTCCAGTACTCATGCGCCACAAATATGTGTTTGTCATTCCCACTATGTTCGTGATGAGCAATTAATGTGGACTTATTTAGTAACTCTGAGGATTATTTTTTCAATATTCCTTCCTGGTTCTAGATTTTGGATCACTCATGACCCTGCCTCCTGGTGCACGTTGGCTTTCTAGTGTCAGTTGGCTTCTGTAGAAGGCATAACAAATCGCACTCTTGCAGCTGTCAAATCTAAATAACATTTGAGTATGGATGATTGTGACTATTAGCAATTTGTTTGGATGAAAATTAGTAGATGGAAGGGAAGGAAGGAAAGAGGGAGGAAATGAATTGAAGGAAAAGTAAAGGAAAGAAAAAAATTGATATTAATTTTATTTGAATGAAAAAAAGGAGGTCGAGAGGGAAGGATAATATTTTTTAAATTAAATAAATAAAGAAAAATATAATATAATATATTATAATATTTAAATTTTATTAATTAAAAAATTAATTAAAATAAAATATTTTTATATATCTATTTTTTAAAAAAAATAAATATATAGTTAATTTATTACTATCCCTCCTATTTAAAGAAATAAAAAATGAAAAAGTAGATGAGATTTTGTCCATCTCCATGTCTAGACTAGACAAAAATTCATCCGATTCGTCAACCTGACCTTAACCCGACCTTAATTTAATTCGTAAAAAACGAATTAGAGTCTACATATCTCAACTAACAATCTGTAGATAACCCGTATTATCAACTCGTATGAGTCATGGGTCGGGTTAGGGTCAACCCACGGGTGGACGGGTTGACCTGTTTGTTTTATTTATTATTATTATTTTTAAATATTATACTTATTATCTTTAATTAATTTTCCTATTGGTAACTCCTTCCATTAATTCATACTCCCTA